AGAAGTAGAGTAGTATTGTATATATATATATATATATATATACATATATATATATGGTTTTTGGCTCTCTTTTAACTCACTAACTTCCGTTTAAATTTTCGTTACTTTTTCTAATTATTTTAAAGTCTTTACGAAGAAGAGAAGAGGAACAGTAAATCATGAGAGAAAATAATGTCACTTTGAAGGCAATTTGAATGATTTCAAACAGAAGTATATTTCAAATAAATGTCTGTTCGCATCGGAGACAAATGTAGACGAACGGACACATCTGTGGTACATATTGCGCTTTAGCTTGATTCTCCAGCATCTCATTCATAACTTTTCAAGACTGTTTCATTTAATGCCAATTGCGTAACGAAATGTTCGTACCAAAACTTTGCTATTAATTAATCCAAAATGTCGAAAATGGGCCAAAGAATTGAAGGCAAAAAATAAAAAATGAGATGAATTACTATTTGCGCTTTTGGTTTCTCATAGATTCACATAAGTGACTGCTTGAAAAAAAGTGATGACTTTGTTTCAGGATATATAAGCCTGGCAAGGAAGTTTGTTCCAGGATATACAAGCCTGACAAGGCGTTTTCTGCGATGTTTTGATGATATCGACTCCTTCATTACGCTGCATAAGGGCTAATTTTCTAATTCTCTTGTCAAGCAGGTAAAACGCAAACAATCTGCAAGCTGGTCTGTAAGTTTCTGGTAAGATGTAAACAAAAAAACCACTTCGGTGCATGTAAGTAAATTGTATTATCAAACAAAATTAATTAGACTATAGCAACAAGTAAGCAAATAAGCCTTTGCAGTGAATATCTGACGATATAATATCGAGTTTATGATTAGGTAAACTATTGTGAGTAATGGATGACGAAAATAAAACGTTCTTTGATCGACGGCAACAAGTACCCGAAAAGAAATGTAATTTTTTGCCGCGCCATATACAGGTACTTTTTCCGAGAAATCCTTCTTTAGTAAGCGGTATTATTTATACGTGCATAATGGAAATTGAATGACTTAACCAAAATTAAAGAACCAAAAGTCGGAAATTTTATAAATTTCGAAAGCCTGACGAGTTTTAGTTTCAAGAAAAGAGATGTTTCACGAAATTAGCCACTATGAAAATTTTTTTTTCAAAATATAAATAAATAAAAAAAAAATATAAATATAAAAATTGGCCTAGAACTCAGATAAGACAATTATGTTTATTGCTCTTATTGCATAATACGTTTAACTAATCCTTCCTCATCTTAACGGGTCCAAGTACCTACTGATGCTTTCTATGGCGCAAATTTTTTGTATGAAAATACAGTCTAGAAGAGAAGAAGGAGCAACAACAACAAATATTTTCCTTTTTTTTTTCGCTTTCATCTTGTGAATGCAAATGACTATAACTTTGAGAATTCTTCAAATTTTGAATCGTTATTTCAGCGAAGGGAAAGGAAGGAAAATGACATGGCTATTGAGGAGAGTTTAAAATGCAAAACTATTGGATGACAACTGATTAATGATTAATGACTAAGGATAGATTCTGACGTAATCACTTCCAATGTCTTGAATTATTCTTGTTAGCATCATTTCCTTTATGCTACTTCAACTTCTTTTTTTCTTCCTGACTAGCTAAGAAACAATGAATTCATATCTCAGCCCTAATACCCTTACATAGTAGCATTGATTCCTTCAATAAACATCTTTCTATTAAATGGAATTAATGCGTTTATTTTTCGGATTCATCACTTATTCTTACGATATACTGGCTGGCGTTTGTCCAGATTTTAGATGCCATATGCTTGTCTCCAACAATATTTCGATTATATCATTGCTCAGTTTTGTCTACTGAAACTTAAATTTTCGATTCTGATTTATCAATCGAAAAATCTGAATGAATATTTTGCATTGTAACAGACAAATTGAATTTTGACAAATGGAAAATAGAATTTTCGAAATTTATTTCGCCAAGACAAAAAAACAGAAAGTGCTTGAAAGACGAATTTTTGGACTTTGAAAAATTCAAAGTTTTGAACTTGAAAAACAAGCATTTAGCAAAAGCTTTTAAAAAGATTGAAGTATCTTCCCTCCCACGTTCTTTTCAAAATATTCAATAAACTTTATTTGGAAGTAACAAAAAATTATGGCCGTTGGCATAAAAAGCTCCAATTCCACGTTTAGCCCCAACTGATTAGTTAAATGGCAAAAATGGCCAAAATCATCAAATACTTGTTATACAAATGCAACGATAGGAAAAGATATTTAGCTTTAAGGCATGATAACAATGTAAGGATGAAATTCTAGCAAGTTAACAAGAAGTATTGCAAATAGACCGTAATATGCAAGATGCAGGAGAAATGCCGTAATATGCAAGATGCAAGAGGGATGCTGCGAGAAATTAGAGAAAATCTTGTAACTCTGATGGTCATCTGAGCGATTTAAAACTAATTCGTTAGATTACCAAGCAAACTACGATTAATGAGTTTGTCCAAAGATTTCAACGTTTCAAATGCAATAAAGGGACAAATTAAGAGCATAGAGTAGTGACAGGAAAAGAGAAGATGAAGTGAAAAAAAAAAGATATATTCATTTAAAAAAGTGTAAGGATAACTTCTTTCCTTCCTTCCATCAAGTTTTAATTCTTTTCGATTTTTTTGGATTTGTTGCGATGATATCATTTCAGTTTATTTCGTCCTTTAAAAATTGAAGGATTTTAAAACTTCAGCTTTGCTTCTTTTTCACTTATTTCAGCAATTTCTCTCTTACATGAAATTCAGTTTTAAACAGAGCTCGGTATGTCACTTCCATCTTATTTCATTTTTTCAATACTTTCTAATGAATAGAGAATGAGGTGCAAATTCTTCTTTAATCAATTACATATGGAGGAGTATAATGATTAACAGTGAATACAGTAGTCAATGGAAGATAAAGACAATCTCTACTTGAATACTTCCTACTGAACTTATCATAACTTTTATCATTAGAAGATTATCTTAAAAGCTGAAAGAAAATGAATTATAGCTATAAAAAAACTTCAGAATAATAAGTTTAGGTGAAGCAATTCGTGATTTAAAATTCATACGTTTCCGGCAAATTAATTAAAATACACTTCGCTTAGATAAATCTTCAATCTACCTGCTGAAATGTAAAATACTATGTCTTAGGCTGGATCATCCATTATTAAATGACAACTGACATCTACAACGAACGTAGGAAGGTTATATCGTAGTCAGAATAAAAAATAAAATACAAGACAGCAACAGGGAGATTAGATTGGAATATATTAAACTTCAATTTAAGATTGTGTTTTTAAACATGGAAGTCTTAAATCCAATTCTGATCACCAACTCAAGTGATCTTCAAAAATTCATTAAAATATCAATCAATGGATTCACTTCTTCGGCATTTATAATTGCTGTGCCGTGTTAATACTTGAAATTTTTTTTTTGTAAAAGATTTTTAAAAATCTTCGAGTGAAAAAAGTTCCGCGCATTACTTCACATTCGTGATTGTAAGCTCGAGAAAGCATTATTTCATAAAACTTATCTTTCTTTAAGGAAAACTTCGACGAACAAAAAAGAATCACACGTCGATCTTTGCAGCATTTGGAATTAAAAAAATGAAACAAAAATAGGATGATGTTGCTTAATTGCAATGACATGAAATCATCAGGAAAAAACTTTCTTTTACTTAATTAAACCATTT